CTTCTTCTTTTCTCCTCAACTGACAATTTCTGTCTAGCCATTTTTTCCTACAATACAAATTGAAATAAAGAAAAATTTACTTGAATAAGACTATAGAATCAGATTTTTATTTACATGATATGATGATTGACTGATGGATGAATGGATAGATCCAAAATCCACTAGGTGCAGTGTGTAGTTTTCATAACCAGATGTTGTGATAATCTACACATTGGCCTCTCATTTCCCTTTCTCTGTCTCTACATATATAAATATATATACACATATGAAAGTGCTGGCAAAGTTACACGTAACACAATAATAAGCAGACAACTGTCTGCCCATTCACTACAAGTCAGATGCATATATTGTTAAATAATGTAATGCATGCTATGAATGTGCGTTTATGTGTAAATAAAACCTTGAAATATCAGTTTAACTTAGACTTAGACTTCTTTATTTGTCATTTTGTATGCACAGGGTGCATACAGAACGAAATTGCGTTACATACAGCTTATGAACGTTGCATTGATATTTCACAATGGCACGAGTTATAGAAAAATACAAAAAGTGCAGCAGTGGTCAAAGTGTGAACAGTGCAGAGGATAAGAGACAGTGTGCAAGTTGCAGTGGTTCAGTGCAAAATGGCATTTGTGCAAAAAATGCGTTATTGAAAAATACAATGAGATGAACAATTTAAAGGGCTAAAAGTTAAAAGTTCAGCAGCATTTGATGCCCGATAATGTGCAATAGGTGCAGAGTTCGGATTGTGGATCAAAGGTTCAACAGTCTGATGGCAGTGGGGAAGAAGCTGTTGCACAACCTGGTGGATCTGCAGCGGATGCTGCGGAACCTCTTTCCAGAGGGCAGCAGGGAGAACAGTCCATGGTGGGGGTGTGAGGGGTCTTTGATGATATTACGGGCTCGGGACACACAGCGCTGTGATGAAATGTCCTTAATGGAGGGAAGAGGAGCCCCAATGATTCCTTCCGCTGTCCTCACCACCCTCCTCACATTCTTCCAGTCAGAAGCTCTGCAGCCTCCACACCACAGAGAGAGACAGCTGGTCAGAACGCTCTCTATGGTGCTTCTGTAGAAGGTTGTGAGGATGGGCGGGGGCAGGCGGGCTCTCCTCATCCTCCGCAGAAAGTACAAGCGCTTCTGTGCCCTCTTCACTAGAGATGAAGTGTTTACAGTCCAGGTGAGGTTGTCCGTGATGTGCACCCCCAGGAACTTTGTGCTGCTGACCACCTCCACAGCTGAGCTGTTGATGAGCAGTGGAGCATGGTGGGGGCGGTTTTTCCTGAAGTCGACGATGATCTCCTTCGTCTTCTCCACGTTCAGGATCAGACTGTTTTCACTGCACCAGTCCACCAGCTGCTCCACCTCCTCTCTGTAGTCCCGGTCGTTGTCGTCCCTGATGAGGCCCACCACCGTGGTGTCGTCCGCAAACTTCACGATGTGATTGGTGGTGAACCTGGGGACACAGTCATATGTCATCAGGGTGAACAGCAGGGGGCTCAGGACGCAGCCCTGAGGGGAGCCCGTGCTGAGGGTGATGACATCAGAGGTGTTCTGACCGACCCGGACTGACTGAGGTCTGTTGGTGAGGAAGTCCAGCAGCCAGTTTCGAAGGGGTGTGTTGAAGCCCAGATGTTCCAGCTTTCCCACCAGGTGCTGTGGGATGATGGTGTTAAACGCTGAACTGAAGTCCAGGAACAGCATCCGCACGTGGGTGTTCTTCTCCTCCAGGTGGGCCAGGCTCAGGTGAAGAGCAGAGGAGATGGCGTCCTCAGTGGAGCGGTTTCGCCGGTAGGCAAACTGGAACGGGTCGAGTGTTGGGGGGAGACTGGAGACGATGTGTTCCTTTACCAGCCTTTCAAAGCACTTCATCATGATGGGAGTCAGTGCGACGGGCCGGTAGTCGTTGTAGCAGGTGACTTGAGGTTTCTTTGGCACTGGGATGATGGAGGCAGACTTGAAGCATGCTGGCACTGTGGCTTGCTCCAGCGAGGTGTTAAAAATGTCCGTGAGGACACCAGCTAGCTGACCTGCACACTCCTTGAGCACCCGCCCAGGTATGTTGTCGGGACCTGGGGCCTTCCGCGGGTTGACCCTCCTCAGAGTCTTCCACACGTCGGCTGTGTCAAGGCAGAGAACCTCCTCTTCCTGATGTGGGACAGCCTTCACTGCTGGAGTGCGATTTAGTGCCTCAAACCTCCCAAAGAAGTTATTTAGTCCGTTTAGGAAGTCAGCATCAACTTCATCTACCGGGGCAGGGGGCGTGTTGTAGTCTGTGATCGCCCGTATGCCTTGCCACATGCTCCTGGTGTTGTTGGCGTCGTGGAACAGATGCTGGATTTTCTGGTTATGGTTCCGCTTTGCTAACCTGATGGCACGGTTCAGGGTGGCTCTAGCTGTCCTCAGTGCCTCCTTGTCACCAGACTTGAAGGCTGAGTTCCGTGCTTTTAGCGCGTGGCGGACCTCCTCAGTCATCCAGGGCCGTTGGTTGGCTCGGGTGGTGATGGTCTTTGTTGTGCTGACGTCCTCGATGCAGTGGTTGATGTAGGCTGAAACAGTCATGGCGTACTCATCAACATTGATCTTGTTGTCATATGTTGCTGCTGATTTGAACATGTCCCATTCAGAGCATTCAAAGCAGTCCTGGAGTGCATCCATGGCCCCCTCCGTCCAGACCCTCACCTGCTTCACTGTAGGTTTTGCTCTGATCAGCAGGGGTCTGTATGCAGGAATTAGCATCACAGAAAGGTGGTCTGAGGAGCCGATGTGGGGGCGGGGGGCTGCTCTGAATGCGTCTTTTATGTTTGTATAAACTAAGTCCAGAGTGTTCTCTCCACGAGTAGCAAAATCCACGTGTTGATAAAAATGAGGGAGAACAGTTTTCATATTCGCCTGATTAAAATCTCCAGCAATGATGAAAACGCCCTCTGTGTGTGTAGATTGCAGCTCAGAGACAGTCCGATAGAGAACACTCATGGCCTCCTTTGTATCAGCGCTGGGGGGGACATACACCGCTGTGATGGTAACAACAGTGAACTCTCTGGGCAGGTAAAAGGGTCTGCAGCTAACAGTCAGAAGCTCTATGTCCGGAGAGCAAAAACTTGAGACTATTCTAGCATTTTTACACCAGTTGTTATTGATGTAAACACAGAGTCCGCCTCCTCGGCTCTTACCGCTGAGTTCTTTGTTTCTGTCGGCGCGGAAAGTAGCTAGCCCCTCCAGGCTAATGGCGTTGTCCGGGGTTGATGATGTGAGCCACGTCTCTGTCAGAATGAGAGCGCAACAGTCCCTAAACTCCCTCTTTGCTGAGAGCTCGAGTTGAAGATGGTCAGTTTTGTTATCCAGTGAACGTACGTTGGAGAGCAGGATGGATGGAAGCGATGGTCTGTGGGGGTTAGCCTTTAGCTTGGCTGCTAAACCTCCGCGACAGCCGCGTTTCCTCGGCCGGCTGCACCGCTTTCGCTTGGCTCTCCTCCAGCGTGAGCCGCTCGACGGGTCCGCTGCATCGCAGGCCTCCGGGGCTTGATCCCGGAGCACTCCGGAGTCACGTAAACAGTCGAGCGTAGTGGTGGTTACAAGTCCAAATACACTGCATGATCGTAACTCCAGCAGGCGCTGGCGGTCCAGTGATGATCTGCTAGGTAGATAAGCAGTTTGCAGCGGGTTTGGCGGTATATTTTTATGAAAATCTCCGCAAGTTGGTCGGAGCTGTATGCCAGCCGCTGCCGCCAGGGGCGCCGCCATTTTGGCCTTTCACTATATTCACAAATAATATTATATTTGCACATTAAGAGGTCATTGGTGGTTTTGTCAACTCCGTCAGCTTACAGGTCAACTCCATCAGACATAGAACCTGACGGAGTTGACGTCTGACGGAGTTGACGTAAGGGCATGTATTTTCCCTCCAAAACATGTATTGTACACTGCAGCTAGATACTTTTTCCTCAGTTGCTAGCTGTTTCAATAACCTCACTAAAATGCTTAAATTCAATCCACTATGGTTTAAAAAAAAGTATCTCAACTGAAAGACAGTATTGACAATGTGCAGCTGTGACCATAGGAATATTGACATTCTTTGTCTCAAATATAAAAAAAATTAAAACATACCAGATCATGTGTGGTAGTGTTGCATTCACCACAGACAGGGAGATAAAAAGGGGTCCTCAGAGATATAGCTGACCTTGCTATTGCCTGATTTAAAGAGCTTTATGAAAAAATCTGACGGAGTTGACAGAAACTGAGGACACAACTTTAATAGGCAGATTTTTATGGAAAATACAGTTTAATGTTGACTTCATGTGTTGTTTTTTATATTTATACCCCTTATTTTTTATTTGATATTTCTGTTTTCACAATTTTAGAGCATTTTTAAGTTTTTTGGGATGGTTAATATTGTGACCTATTGCTGAGGACAAGTAAAATAACATGGACATCCTAACCAAAGAAAACATATTTAAACAAATTTTCCCCAAAAAGATAAAAAAGTTTATTCTAAAAATCCGATAGGTATATAAAATTCTTTAGATTTAACTTTGTAAGTATGTAAATCATGATGACTTTATTTATTTTTTTGCTATAAATTAGAATTTTTTATGTGGGACATGTTTTGTCCCGACTCTCAAGAATCAGTGAATTAATTATTATATATATGGTTGTATTAATTAATAAATAATATATTCAGAATATAATCTACGGTGGCCGACAGGGGCAAATGCGCAGCAAAAGAGAAAACATGCAAACAAAAAAAAAGACACGCTCACAAATTAAATGCGGCAAACAAAAAGAAAATAAAATGCAGCAAACAAAAAAGAAGACACCCCCGAATGAAATGCAGCAAACAAAAAGAGAGACGCAAACAAAAAAGAAGACACCCCCGAATGAAATGCAGCAAACAAAAAAGAAAACACCCCCGAATGAAATGCAGCAAACAAAAAAGAAGACACCCCCGAATGAAATGCAGCAAACAAAAAGAGAGACGCAAACAAAAAAGAAGACACCCCCGAATGAAATGCAGCAAACAAAAAAGAAAACACCCCCGAATGAAATGCAGCAAACAAAAAGTGTTGAAAACGGAAGTGCTCCAGACCACTAGGGGGAGTCAAAGAAAATAGTATTCATTTCTATGGGACCAGATGCAAGATTCAGAGAAAGATATTTGAAAGAAAGTAAAGGTACGTATTACTATATTTCTTTTTAGATACGCCGTCTTTTATAATATTAATTATTAATATTAATATTAATAATTAATATTATTAATTTATGGGTAGCGTGATAGACTTTGTGTCAGTCATACCGTTAGATAGATAGATAGATAGATAGATAGATAGATAGATAGATAGATAGATAGATAGATAGATAGATAGATAGATAGATAGATAGATAGATAGATAGTGAATTCGATTTACGCTTTTAACTTTCGTATTTTTATCTTTTTTTGATTGCTCTTATTTTTTCACAGTGACTCTGTGAAGTATTATCCTCTATAATGAGGTATTTTTCGGGGAGGTTCTGTGCTTTTTTGTGCTGTTTTTATCATGCTCCCACCGGGACACGCTGCCTTTGTTTACTCCAGAGAACAGCTGATCGCTCTAATGCCGGCCGGCGTTTTAGCCAGACAGCTGGAATACCACCCGAACTCTGGAGGAAAACACGCCGTGGTTGCAGAGGAGGAAAACAACATTATCACTTTACTTGGATTTATCACTTTAATTGGACTTTTCACTTTATTTGGATTTAGTTTTTACATATGCATAGATATACGTACAGATATATATACAGAAGAGCTATATGTGTATATATATTTTATCTCTTTTTATTCTTATTTTTTTAAATCTTTATTATATTGTACAGTTGGATGTGTGTATATATCATGTAAAACTGTAACTGGAGCGTGTAACAAAAGTAATTTCCCTCTGGGATTATTAAAGTATTTCTGATTCTGATTTACCTTTTTTAGGTGGCCATGTTTTGCTGTTTCTGTGGACAAAATCTAGGAAAAATTCAAGTTTTCTGTTTTTCATGTGGGAAGAATGTGCAGATCTTGGCACAAGCTCAAGACACTGGTAAGCAGTGATGGCATAGTTACTTGTAAAAATTAACTTTAATCGATTACTTATTACTACTTGAAAAAGTAGATTAGTGAATACTTTTTTTGGAAATTCACTAAGTTACATTTTTTTTTTTTCTCCACCACTTGTGAAAAGCTTGAGCGTTGCCAGCCATATGTATGGCTCCTCAACAGCCAACCAACGCATCGAAAGCTGGTGGTCATATTTCAGAAAACAAAGGTGAGTTTGTCAACAGTTTATTGTAATTTTTGTATAAATACCAAGTAGTAGACCTTGAAAAGGTGAATAAATTTAGTAGTCTTCTTGGATAAGCAAATATTTCAAATTTTTAATGCAACATTTTACTCGATTACCTCTACTTTGTCAGAAGAAATGAAGTACTTGCATATCTCTTAATGACCATTATGTTTTTGTGCTATATACAACTTAATTTTATAGTTTAACATTTGATATGGATGAATCAGAAGCTCAACATTTAAAGTATAACAGTTGATGTCTGCTTACTTTATAGTTAACTTTGTAGGTCAACATATATTTAACTATTTTCATGACATAGAAACTAGTCCTATTACTTTCTGCTGATATAATTATCTTATAATTTTGGTTTATTGTAGATCTCAGTTCTGGATTGATCTCATGAACGATTTGAAGGAAAGACATCTCTTCAATGGAAGTCATGAGCACACATGCCTTGTGCGGTTTGTCTTCATGGATATGCTACAGAGAGATCTTGTTGAATGCAAGAACAGGTGGCATAAACATACCATAAGACCTGTTAAACAATCTTGCTGTCCATCTGGTAAACCAGATGTGATGTATCATCTACCTCACACCTAACTTTCGTAAAAATACGAAAGTTAAAAGCGTAACAGGAGCGGTGTAACTGCAGCACGCTGCTTTCGCGCATGCGCACTAACTGGTATAGTCTGCACATAGGTCCTCTTGTGACAGATAGGTGATAAATCGAATTCACTATCTATCTATCTATCTATCTATCTATCTATCTATCTATCTATCTATCTATCTATCTATCTATCTATCTATCTATCTATCTATCTATCTGATTATGATTAGCATTAGCATAATTGCTTTGCTAACTCGGGCAAGCATCTACGAGACCGAGCCCAGAACGGTATGACTGACACAAAGTCTATCACGCTACCCATAAATTATTCTGTTATTCTATAATATTATAAAAGACGGCGTATCTAAAAAGAAATATAGTAATACGTACCTTTACTTTCTTTCAAATATCTTTCTCTGAATCTTGCAACTGGTCCCATAGAAATGAATACTATTTTCTTTGACTCCCCCTAGTGGTCTGGAGCACTTCCGTTTTCAACACTTTTTGTTTGCTGCATTTCATTCGGGGGTGTTTTCTTTTTTGTTTGCTGCATTTCATTCGGGGGTGTCTTCTTTTTTGTTTGCGTCTCTCTTTTTGTTTGCTGCATTTCATTCGGGGGTGTCTTCTTTTTTGTTTGCTGCATTTTATTTGCTTTTTGTTTGCCGCATTTAATTTGTGAGCGTGTCTTTTTTTTTGTTTGCATGTTTCTCTTTTGCTGCGCATTTGCACCTGTCGGCCACCGTAATAATCATTCATTTATAGTAACAAAAAATTAATTAAAAGCATAATAAACAACCTTTTCAATTAAAAAATTTTTTTCATCTAAATTATAAAATTAGTAAAGATATGAGCATAGCAAAACAAGTCTGAAATGTTTTTACATAATTAGATTACTCTTTAAATTGGTTAAAAGTTATAATCTTGATGCTGCTTCATTTTTAGATTTATGGGGGAGCAAGAAGCAGCGAATGCAAAGGTTCCCTCTTGGGACCTAAAAAGAAAAGCAATGCATTGTGTTTATTTTTCATCTAAAATCCAGATATTTAATTATTGGAAATGAATGTGTTAAAGTCCTGGCCCTACTCAAAACATTAGTTAACAACTAGCATTAAAGAGCACAGCAGGGAGGTCGGGGAGAAAGATGGGGAGAAGGTTAAAGCAGAGTGTTTTGTAAAAGCCTTGGTAATCTCCCAGAAGCCTTCTAAATCACTTATCTGAAAATGGAAAAAAGTGCAACTATAAATCTAAATATGAGAGGCAGGGCAAGAAGTGCAAAGATAAGAGCAGCAGCTGTTTAGTGCTAATGATAACTCTGTACAAGCTGCAAAGATTTAAAGGTACATAGTCACTTTATATGGCTGTACCAAAAAAACAAAAAACCGTCATGATCTTGGCGCTTATCTCTGCCTAGTTCTCAGTACCGTTGTTCTGATCCACCTGTTCCAGCCTGTATTTAACCAGCCTTCAAACCAGTAATCAGTGTCAGATTTTTGTTCTGATTGCCTAATCCTGACCCGTTCTGCCTCTGGACCTCTTAGCCTGCATGTCCCTTTTCTAATCTGTTTGTCTAACCTGTCTTTGGACTCCTGCTGGATTTCTGCCTGTTTACCGAACGTGGAACTTGTTTCCCAAACACGTTCTGGGTTTACCTTCGGTACCTCCTCGTACCTCTGATCTCTTGGCTCTAAATACCGAGCACATCCTCGACACCTTGACAATAAACGTTTTGAGAAATCTGTCTGTCTGCCTCGAATACTGGGTTCTACTGTTCTGATCCTAACAAAAGTCCAGCTGATCAGTATAAAATAGAGCTATTATTTCCTCCCGTTACAGTTCTGATAGTCCGTTTTGACCCTAAATAGAACCCCAGAACTGGGCGAGAGGAGCTGACAATAACAAACGTGGCGCCATCTACAGGAAGTACAGCTGAACTACCAGAAAGCCAGATGGTGGCCATTGATGCAGCTACTAAATAACTCCCCACTTTGCTGTGAAGCCTCATGGAAAACTGACAGAGAACATAGTTTAAAAGCATTGCTAACACCAGTAGCGCTTTTCGCGAGGACATGTACTCACGTGTGACACTGACATCTGAAAGCTTCCTGAGCTTTAGTTCCACCTTTAGAGTACTCAAATGCTAAGACTGCGTTCAAAGCACAACTTAAATTTAATCCCTCTTGGAATCAAACCATTTCTTGCACCTGTTTTTAATTTTAATTGCAGTTTTCAAGAACCTAACTGACCATTTTAGCGCCCCCATCGCTTCGGCCTGTTGACCAATATAAGCATGCACAGTAACATAATCCTGGTCATTTAATCAAATTGACTGGCAACATTTGCAAAAACTAAACCTTAAATAAAGGCAACAGAAACACTAGACAAGCAAAATGCCGTAACTTTTATAAAACCAGTTAGTTACTGGAGTATTAATTAAAATTTTGTGAAATAAGGTCCCTTTATGCCTTTAAAGCTCACATCAACTAATCGTTAGACAGGATAAGTCACAATTATTACTTTTAATCCTAGCCTGAAAGAAGGGAAAGATACGAGAAAGCCAGATGGACCTGCATAGTTTGCTACTGTACCAGCCTTAAAGTGGACACAGCAAACTTGCTCTGGTCAGAGACCAAAACTTTAACAGCTTGCAGCTGTAATTAGGACCATAGGCTGGTTTCATCACTCTTTAGGGCTAAAGGGAAATGTTACCACACTTTTTTGTTTCTTTAATATATAAAATACTTTTCCCCCCCTCCTACTACAGAGTTATGTGCTAGTATGTCACCTAAAAACCCAATTAAATATAAATCTTTTCATCATCATAACATTTTGGCTCAGTTTTTAGAAATAATGTCAACACAGGGGCAGATTCCCCGAGGTGGCAAGTCTCTAAAACTAATATGGTGCAAATGTGTGAGCCAGTTATCGACTTTAGCAGAGCTGCATGGGACCCTCAGACAGCCCCACGTTAGTGTGAAAGTGAAGCCCCTTCCTCAGTGACCTTGGATCAAAGGGGGGCCTCAGTGGCCAAGCAGGGGTACACTGAGGGCTCATGGTGTGGTGGTTATCTCTGGGATAGGGTTACAGCTAGCAGTCAGGGGGAGCCCAGCCCCCAATCCCCAACTGCTTTGACAATGAGCCACTGTTTTTCCAGGGGCTCCTGGTTTTCGCTCCCACACCTATCCACCACGTTCCTACACAGTTTGCACCTCAGAGCATCTGACATCCTCTGCTGCCTCCAATCATGTAAACTTGCAGGCTTAGACTCAATGACCCCATGGCTCAAATCTGACATTAACATGGCTGATAAAGATACAAACAGACAGCTGTAAAACACTACTGTTAACAATAATCATTAAAACCCTTCCTAAGTGCTTAAATGTATGTGACAAACACGCACAGTAAAATAACACAGACTAGGGATGGAACACTTTATGAAAACCGTCCGAATCATTTGGTTCCACTGTCTCAGTTCGGTTCGTGTGTTGCGTTCGGTTCATGCGCTGCTCCTTTTTCTCATAGGCGAAGCTTGTACACTCCAGTGCAGAAGGTGGCGGTACTGTAACCAAAGTCAACCACCAGTAGTAAACAAGAAGAAGAAGCGAAGCAGCCTAGCCGGGTGTAGCAGAAAAAAATCAGTTGTGGAGAATTGTGTGGGTATGGCGAGTGGGAAAGAACAGGAGTTGGAAGACGCGCCAGCAGCACTTTATAGGTCTGCTGTATGGGACCACTTTGCATTTAGAGTGATCTACAGTACGATGACGGCGGAAAGAAAGTTGTGGATAAAAGTGCAACAGTGAAAATCGTACGAAAAGTTATGCACAGTATTTCGTAGGTTTTTGACATTTTTTTCGTGGTATTCCGTCGTATTTTTACGTCTTGCCTCAAGACAAGATATCAGTGCGCATGCGCATCTTACGCACCATTCAATAACATACAATTTAACATACTATTAACCCTAACGCTAACATACAAAGCAGCAAGCAACCTAGTGAGAGACATCATGAAGTAATTATTGCACTGTGGAAAGCTCGTCCGTCCCAGTTTTACGTCCGTCCGCTGATCTGCTTTTTTCGTCTGGCTGGCTTCGCATGCGCACTGATATGTTTTTTCGAGGAAAAACGTCAAAAACCGACGAAACACTGTGCATAACTTTTGGTACGATTTCATAGGAACTGATAATGAGAATATATTGAACAGTGTGCAAGCATTGTGCAACACGTTTTGTTCATGCTAACAGCAACACAACCAACATGTCAGCTCACCTGCGGATATATTGATGATTATAATATTTACTGGATTATTTATTTTGTTATTTTAGATAACACAGTGGCACTTTAAGTTTGATAAGAAATCCAGCCTTATTTATTTGATTGTATTTCAAACACTGCAGAACAAACTGAGTTTTGATAATCAGAGAATTAAAACATGTCAATTTATCTTGAGTTAATTTCACGGATGAAAAGTTTGACGGAATTTATTGAAGATGTTAAGCTCGGTGCAGAGTTCCTCTGAACTCTGCTTGGCCGGAACCGGAAGATGAGGGGAAGACAGACTATTAGTTCAGGCTCAGTGGGAAATTTGATTAGTTGATTTGAAGCAGAGGATCTGGTTGTTGACTCACGTTTCCAGAGAAAGTGAAGGGTCCTTGACTCCAATCTGTGTGTGGGTTTTCCAGAGTTTGTCTGACTCGGTGGAGGGTGGAACAGGGTTTACCCAGAACTCGGACGATGTAGGGGAACGGAGACGCTGATTGCCACTCAGTTTTCCTGCTGTACTTGAACGGGTCATAGTGAAGATGATTCCCTTGCTCAGAGAGTAATTTCAACGTCCTCAAA